AGAAACTTGACTTGAATATGAATACATTCCAGATTATATGAATGAGATCAGTTATTTGGGAAGTATGTTTAGGGAAGATAGTTAAGTCCCAGGCAGACTGTGAAGAGCAACAAAAGGATCTCTCAAAACTAGGTGACTGGGCAACAAAATGGCAAATGAAATTCATGTTGATAAATGCAAACATTATCCCAACTATACATATAAAATGATGGGTTCTAAATTAGCTGTTAACACTCAAGAAAGAGATCTTGGAGTCATTATGGATAGTTTTCTGAAAACATACACTCAATGTACAGCAGCAGTCAAAACAGCGAGCAGAATGTTGGGCATCGTTAAGAACGAGATTGATAATAAGACAGAAAATATCATATTGACTATATAAATCCATGGTATGCCCACATCTTGAATACTGCATGCAGATGTGGTCATCCCATCTCAAAAAAGATATATTGGAATTGGAAAACATTCAGAAAAGGGCAACAAAAATTATTAGGGGTATGGAACGGCTTCCATATGAGGAGAGATTAATCATACAGGGAGTTTTCTGCTTGGAAAAGAGATGACTAAGGGGGGATATGATTGAGGTCTATAAAATCATGACTGGTGTGGAGAAAGTAAATAAGAAAGTGTTATTTAATCCTTTTCATAACACAAGAACTAGGGGTCACCAAATGAAATTAATAGGCAGCAAGTTTAAAACAAACAAAAGGAAGTATTTCTTCATACAACGCAGAGTCAATCTGTGGAACTCTTTCCAGAGGATGTTGTGAAGGCCAAGACTATAACAGGGTTCGAAAAACAACTAGATACATTCATGGAGGATAGGTCCATTAATGGCTATTAGCAAGGATGGTGTCTCTAGCCTCTGTTTGCCAGAAGCTGGGAATGAGCAACAGGGAATAGATCACTTGATGATAACCTGTTCTGTTCATTCCATCTGGGGCACCTGACATTGGCCATTGTTGGAAGACAGGATACTGTGCTAGATGGACCTGTCCCAGTATGGCTGTTCTTATGTTCTAAAAAGGACGATGGACAGAAGGGAGGTAATTGTGCATATAGAAAGAGCCTAAAAATGGAGGCCTAAAATTCACATCTTATAACAAACAAACAAAAAATCACTCAATTTTCACAAATAAATGTTCAAATTACAATGTCATCTGAGGACAGTACCAATCATCAAGGGACGATTGTAAGAAAAATGCCTTAGGGAATTTAAATTTGTCAGGGAACCACTTGTTCTGAACTACTTCGATATTAACAAAGAGCCTAAAATCAGTGCAAGATCACCTGGACTGGGGACTGTTGTTGTCCAAGACAACTGTCCAGTGGCGAATAGATCCTAAGCACTGATTTAAACACAACAGAAGTATGCTCAGATTAAAAAAGAAATGCTGACAATGTTGTGCATTGTTGGGAGCTGTTTCATAAATATATTAATAGGAAGAAATCAGCTGAGGGAAGACATGCCATAAACCACTAAAAACCATATTAAAGAAACCACTGTTCTAAGTACCACCTAAAATTCAGAAAGTGATCAAGAAATTGCAAAAGCTTCCTTAACTGTGAAACATAGGCTTGGTAAGGAGCTCTTTATGCCAGTATGCTTTAAAGAACAACTATAAATAGTGACAGCAAGGAACTCGGAAAAAAGACACTGAAGTAAATATAATTCATGTGCTACCTGTTTTGAAAAAGTTTGGTAAAACCAGCTGAAAAAAATAGAAAATGACCTGATTTTACAAGAGATTGAAAGATTAAACCTAGACAGATGACAGACAGGAAAAACAACCACCACCACCAGTTATCAAGCACAAAAGCATATTGGGACTACAGATGAAATTTCTGCACAAAGGACATTGTGTCATAATACAATACAGCATGAGTTAAGAAATGCTAAGCATAATCAACAATGCACCTGTGGGTACTGAGAAATACAAGAACAGAGTCTGAAATGTCGCATTCTGGACAGTTGTGCATGCTGCCATCAAAGATAAGGTATCCATGGGTGAAATATGCACTCAATAAAGGAATCAGAATGCAAAATAACCTCTGAAATTACATGATATTCCCAATTGCTCTTGGTCTGCAGTTGGTGCAGATCTATTTGAATTAAATGGGAAAGATTGCCATTGAATAGCAGATCATTCTATTTTTTCTTGAAATTGAGTAGTTGCACAACATGTTACATTTCATAATTTGTTCCCGCTGGGTTTCTAGATGAGTTAATAACAAATACTGACATTAAATTTGTGAGATTCACTTTATCCTTTTTATATATACATTAGTTCAAGCACATCACCTCAAGCCCTTACTACACAATCAAAATGAGTTAGCAGAAGTTTGTCCAAATAGCAAAAATTCAAAAGGATCCATATTTAGCATTGTTAGAATGCTACAGTGCAACTGACAATACTTTATTAAAATCTCAAGTGTAGAGACAAAGAAAAAAACTTTATGGTTAACATCTTAATTCTTGAGCCAAAGACAATCAATTGTGTATTGGCTATAAAAGAATTATGTGCCAAGAAACTAGAACCGAAGAAATACCAAAACAAGAATACAGCACCAAGCAAATGGGATCCTGGTCTAACGAGGACTTCTGCACACTATGGCAATACAAATAATAAATAAGAATACTAACTAAACAGTTATCACAACTGCAGAGAGAGCGATAAACTCCAACAGAAAATGACTGGTAATCTGTAAAAGTAATATCTATACCAGTCACACCAAGATGACACATCAAAACCATTCCGAGGGGTCAGTCTGACACAAGGAACAGAAGATGTCTAAACAAATCCAAGAAAGAAAGAAACCAAGTTGTCCCACTTGACTACTTGCCATTGAGCTCTTCTTAATGAGCTGCTAGTGCCTCATGGAAGCTTTCTGAAATGTTGTTGTGGATGAGAAGTAAACTCTCTAACTCCTGACTGCTTGTGGTGTGTAATGATTTCATGACAATTTTTACAAAGTGGGGATGTCACCCTGGTGACCTGATTAAATTTTTCCTTAGATAATTATATTCCACCTGCCTAAAATTCCACCACTCATGGAAACAGGACAAGGTATTATTCTCCACATCCTGTCCTACAGGACTATACTATTTTGATGCACTGTTAAGTAGTTGCCCGATTAGATAATTGTTTCTTCTATAAAATATATGGCTGAAAAATCAGCTTGAAAAGTGCTTTTGGAGCCTTTTGGATGAAAGGTACTATCTAAATATTAGTCATTTGTATCTGTTTTTTAAAATCCTATCCTGCTTTCTTCATTAATAAAGACATTTTCAAGTAAAAGAGATCTTTGCTTCTGAAGAGTTTGTTTACTCCTACTCCTTATTTCCCTATCTGGAAATGTAATTTTATTGTGACATCACAACTGTTTTCTATGCAAGTCATTCTTGATGTCAGTTGTGAGCCATTTGTGGATATTTGATGGAAATAAATGGAATATAAAGTACATAAAGGGATATAGAGGAATCACGTTAGTGCAGTAAAATGAACAAAAGTGGACATAATTGTCTCTGATTAATGAAGGGCTAGCAATGTCATTTTTAGATATCAAAAACTACAATGTTACTTAAAGAAAATTTAAATAGGCAATAATAGCAGCCCAGGTGTATGCCCTATGTCTCCAATTCAAACTGTCTCACTTGCATTTTAAAGAGGAGGAGGACTATTTTTGCCTGGTGGGGACTTGGTACATCTAAGAATGAGAATACTAGAGCAGTGACTTGCACTACGCAACGTGCAAATTCCTTACACAGCTCTGATCCTAACCCACAGCATCATTGTTATACGAGTGTTGGGCCTCTCATTAACAGAGATTTCCACTAATGCCAAATTATTTGTGTGTTGGGGGGAGGAGGATGGGATGGTGAACAAATATCCACCAGGAAATAGTAGGTGACCCACCTGATCTGTTTCCCTTGTGACAGGTGCCAAAAGGTGGACCCAGTTCATCAGAACTGAAATGTGAATTTGTCCTCCTGTGATGGAAAGCACAAGACTGGGATCTCAGGAGATCTGGATTTTTACTCCTGAGTCCTTCATGGTCTCACTGTACAATCTTGGGTAAGTCGCCTCTGTGCTTCAGTTTGACCAACTGTGAGCTAAAGAGGTAATGTCTAACTGTGAGGTAATATCTAATTTATAAAGCTGTTGTGAGGTTAAATCCAAATGTTTATCCTGCCCTTTGAGATCCCTGGATGGAAGATGGTTATAGAAATGTGGATTAGTCTAGACAGTATTTGGTCCTACCATGAGGGCAGGGGACTGGACTTGATGACCTCTCGAGGTCCCTTCCAGCCCTAGAATCTATGAATCTATGAATGCCAAGTATTATGTAATTTTATTATTACATCACTGCTGCATCAGTTGGCGAGTTAATGACAATATTTGGAGTGAAAGGAAAGGAAAGCCCTTTCTCAAATATCTTGGGTTCCTCCACAGAACTGATTGTGACAAACAGAGAGCAATAAGGAGCTCATTCAATCAAGACTGCCAACTTAGTAATAATGCTGATTTTTTTCTCAAAAAACCCCCCAGAAAAATCCCCACTGTGACATACTCTGTAAACCTTGCAATCTTCTATGAAAATTATGTTTAATATTCCAACAGTGTTGATCTCACTAGAACTTACAACTGGTACATTTAGCATCTTCTGAAATTGGTTTGATGTTTAATTTATAATTGTTGAATATTTGACATAAACACCCTTGTACAAAACTTTAATAAATTCAGTGTCATTTTTTCAAGGCAAACATTAATGTAGAGATCAGATACTTATATCAAAGAGAATAAACTTATTTTTCCTATCTGGACAGAAACATAAAGGCCTGATTCTTCAACATTGACATCAATAGGAATTTTACCATTGACTTCAGTGATCTCAGGATCACACCATTCACCTTGGTCATGCTATCTTCTTCCAGAGTTTACATATCAGAAGCACCTTATGCCCAAGTAGATGTGCACTTGTGGGAAGGCATGACCTACCTTATGAAAATTTCTGAAATACGCCGCTTTTTCATCTGGAAATTTTTCTAGCCTTCTGGGTCCTTTACTAGAAGCCTTCTTGAAAACCAACCAGCATCGCCTGAAAATCTGCAAGCAAAATGAAGGAACTCTATTATTCTCTCTTTCTTATGTAAGCTCATTTACATTAGAGTCCTAAATTATATGGTTCAGCTGATCCATGGGAAGAAATTCCCATAAAACAGCCCTCAGTTTAAAGACATTAAGAGTACCCTTACTGGGTCAGACAACTGGTCTATCTAGCCCAGCATCCTGTCTTCTGACAGTGGCTCATGCCAGATGCTTCAGAGAGAATGAACAGAACAGGGCAATTTTGAGTGATCCATCCCCTCTTGTCCAGGCCCAGCTTCTGACAGTTGGAGGTTTATGGACTCCCAGAGCATGGGATTGCATTCCTGACCACCTTGGCTAACAGTCATTGATGGGCCTATCTTCCCTGAACTTATCTAATTCTTTTTTGAACCCAGTTATACTTTTTGCCATCACAATAGCTTGTGGCAACGAGAACCACAGATTGACTGCATTATGTGAAGAAGTACTTTGTTATGTTTATTTTAAATTTACTGCCAATTAATTTCATTGGGTGACCCCTAGTTCTTGTGGTTATGTGAAGGGGTAAACAACATTTCCCTATTCACTTTCTCCACACCATTCATGATTTAATATACCTCTATCATATCCCCCCGCAGTTGTCTCTTTTCCAAGCTGAACAGTCCCAGTCTTTGAATCTCTCCTCTAATGGAAGCTAATCATTTTTGTTGACCTCCTCTGCACCTATTCTAATGCTAATGTATCTTTTTTGAGATGGGGCAACCAGAACTGCACACAGTATTTAGTACAATGCATATATATCGTGGCATTATGGTATTATTCTGACCCTTTCTCCTATCTCCAGTTATTGATCCATGAGAGGATTTTCCCTCTTATCCCATGACTACTTACTTTGATTAAGAGCCTATGGTGAGGAACTTCATCAAAGACTTTCTGAAAGTACAATACATTATATCAACTGGATCACTCTTTTCTGCATTTGTGTTGATTCCCTCAAAGAATTCCAATAGGGAGGCATGATTTCCTTTTACAAAAGCCACATTGACTCTTCCTCAACATACCATGTTCATCTATGTGTCTGATCATTCTGATCTTTACTATAGTTTCTACAATTTTGCCTGGTACTGAAGTTAGGCTTACAGGCCTGTAATTGCTAGGATTGCCTTGGAGCTTTTTCTAAAAATTGGTGTTGCATTAACTACCCTCCAGTCATCTGTAACAGAGACTGATTTAAGCAATAGGTTACAAACCACAGTTAGTAGTTCTGCAGTTTCATATTTGAGTTTCTTCAGAACTCTGGGTAAATACAGTCCGGTCCTGGTGTCTTATTGCTATTTAATTTATCAATCTGTTCCAAATTGTCCTCTATTAATATTCAATCTGGGACAGTTATTCAGATTTGTCACCTAAAAAGAGTGGCTCAGCTGTGGGGCTCTCTCCAAAATCCTTTGGAACGAAGACTGATGCAAAGAATTCATTTAGCTTCTCTGCAATTACCTTGTTTTCCTTGAGTGCTCCTTTAGCACCCTAATTGTCCAGTGGCCCAACTGACTGTTTGGCAGGATGTGCTTCTGATGTACTTAAAAAAATTGCTGTTAGAATTTGAAGATCAAGTAGATAAGGACATAGACACTTTCTTAGCCTGTGATACTATACTGTTACACTTAACTTGTCAGAGTTTATGCTCCTTTCCATTTTCCTCACTAAGGCCTGGTCTACACTATGAGTTTAGATCGAATTTAGCAGCATTAAATCGAATTAACCCTGCACCCGTCCACACAACAAAGCCATTTACTTCGACATAAAGGGCTCTTAAAATCGATTTCTGTACTCCTCTCCGACAAGGGGAGTAGCGCTTAAATTGACATTGCTGGTTCGATTTTAGGGTCAGTGTGGACGAAATTTGATGGTATTGACCTCCGGGAGCTATCCACAGTGCAACATTGTGACCGCTCTGGACAGCGATCTGAACTTGGATGCACTGGCCAGGTAGACAGGAAAAGCCCCGCGAACTTTTGAATTTCATTTCCTGTTTGCCCAGCGTGGAGAGCACAGGTGACCACTCAGAGCTCATCAGCACAGGTAACCATGCAGTCCGAGAATCGAAAAAGAGCACCAGCGTGGACCGTACGGGAGGTACTGGATCTGATCGCTATATCGGGAGAGGATTCTGTGCTAGCAGAACTACGTTCCAAAAGACGAAATGCCAACACATTTGAAAAAATCTCCAAGGGCATGATGGAGAGAGGCCACAATAGGGACTCATATCAGTGCTGCGTGAATGTTAAGGAGCTCAGACAAGCCTATCAGAAAACAAAGGAGGCAAACGGTCACTCCGCGTCAGAGCCACAGACATGCCTCTTCTACGCTGAGCTGCATGCAATTCTAGGGGGGGCTGCCACCATTACCCCACCCCTGACCATGGATTCCGAGGAGGGGGTACTCTCAGCCATGCCTGAGGATTCTGCGGACAGGGAAGATGAGGAGGAGGACGACGAGCTTGCAGAGAGCACACAGCACTCCATTCTCCCCAACAGCCAGGATCTTTTTCTCAGCCTGACTGAAGTACCCTCCAACTCTTCCAAAGCATTATCCCAGACCATGAAGCCATGGAAGGGAACTCTGGTGAGTGTACCTTTGTAAATATAAAACATGGTTTAAAAGCAAGTGTTTTTTAATGATTAATTTGCCCTGAGGACTTGGGATGCATTCGCAGCCAGTACAGATACTGGAAAAGTCTGTTAACGTGTCTGGGGATGGAGCGGAAATCCTCCAGGGACATCTCCATGAAGCTCTCCTGGAGGTACTCTAAAAGCCTTTGCAGAAGGTTTCTGGGCAGTGCAGCCTTATTCCGTCCTCCATGGTAGGACACTTGACGACGCCATACTAGTAGCAAGTAATCTGGTATCATTGCATGACAAAGCCTGGCAGCATATGGTCCCGGTGTTCGCTGGCATTCAAGCAACATCCGTTCTTTATCTCGCTGTGTTATCCTCAGGAGAGTGATATCGTTCATGGTAACCTGGTTGAAATACGGGAATTTAATTAAGGGGACAGAGGTGGCCGTTCCTACTGGGCTGTTTGCCTGTGGCTGAAAAGAAATCCTTCCCTGCAGTTAGCCAAGCGGTGGGGGGGGGAGGGGCATTGGCGCTGAGCTTTTCGCATTTGGCTAGCAGGGATCTTCCCTGATACCAGCCACGCGGTGGGGGGAGGGGTAAAGCGATCATCCCACAGAATTGGATGGGGGGATAGTTTGGTTTCTGCAGGGATCTTCCCTGATACCAGCCCTGCGGTGGGGGGAGGGAAAAAGCGATCATCCCACAGAATTGGATGGATGGTGGGGGGGTTATTTTGGTTTCTGCTGCTGCACGTTAACAGGAAAACCGCAGCACTCACCGGGCTTTGCTTGGTATGGGAAAGGAGGGCGCTGCTTTTATGAAGGTTGCAGAAGCGGAAAGACAACGGCTTACCATGGCTGCATGCAAGCCGAATTCTGTTGCCCGGACCTGCGTCTGTGATCTCTAACACCAAAGCCACAGGCACTCAATATAAGATGCAAAATGCGACCTTGTACCGAAATCACATGTGCTATGTAATGTGAATAGTGTTGTTCACCGTGAAAGAGTATAAGCATTGTTCTGTAAAATGTATCTTTTTAAATACTTCTCTCCCTTTTTTCCCTCCCTCCCGCAGCTGCAAATTTTTCAAGCCTCCCTCCTCCATCCCGAAGGCTATCTCAGATAAGGCGGGGGAAAAAACGCACATGAGACTAAATGTTCTCAGAAATCATGCAGTCGATCCGCGATGAAAGAGCTATCTGAATGAGTGGAAGGACACGGTATCAAAGTACAGGAAAGATGCCAGTGAACGTGAGGACAGGAGGGATGAACGTGAGGACAGGAGGGACGGACGTAAAGAGAAGAGGGACGCTCGAGATGAGAGGTGGCGGCAGGAAGATCAGAGGAGGCAGGATGCAACGCTGGGGCTGCTGCGTGAGCAAACGGACATGCTCCGGCGTCTTGTGGAGCTTCAGGAATGGCAACAGGATCACAGAGTGCCGCTGCAGCCCCTGTATAACCACCATTCCCCCTCCCCAAGTTCCATAGCCTCCTCACCCAGACGTATAAAAACATGGGGGGGAGGCTCCGTGCACCCTGCCACTCCACCCCAGTGGACAGCCCAAGCAAAAGGCTGTCATTATTTTGAACTTTTGAAGTGGCCTTTTCCTTCCCTCCTCCCCTCCTCCCAAACCCCACCCGGGCTACCTTGTCAGTTCTCTCCCTCTTTTTAAAATCAATTAATAAATAATTCCTGATTTTTAAACGATAGTGACTTTATTTCCTTTGAAAGCAAGCTGTGATCGAAGGGGGAGGGTGGGTTGCTTACAGGGAATGAGTCAATGAAGGGGGTGGGTTTTCATCAAGGAGAAACAAACAGAACTTTCACACCGTAGCCTGGCCAGTCATGAAACTGGTTTTCAAAGCTTCTCTGATGCATAGCACTTCCTGGTGTGCTCTTATAATCGCCCTGGTGTCTGACTGCGCGTAATCAGCAGCCAGGCGATTTGCCTCAACCTCCCACCCCGCCATAAAGGTCTCCCCCTTATTCTCACAGAGATTGTGGAGCACACAGCAAGCAGCAATAACAATGGGAATATTGGTTTGGCTGAGGTCTGAGCGAGTCAGTAAAGTGCGCCAGTGACCCTTTAAACGTCCAAAAGCACATTCTACCACCTTTCTGCACTTGCTCAGCCTGTAGTTGAACAGCTCCTGACTACTGTCCAGGCTGCCTGTGTATGGCTTCATGAGCCATGGCATTAAGGGGTAGGCTGGGTCCCCAAGGATAACTATAGGCATTTCAACATCCTCAACGATTATTTTCTGGTCTGGGAAGTAAATCCCTTGCTACAGTCATTTAAACAGATTAGTGTTCCTGAAGACGCGAGTGTCATGAACCCTTCCCAGCCATCCCACGTTGATGTTGGTGAAATGTCCCTTGTGATCCACCAGTGCTTGCAGCACCATTGAAAAGTACCCCTTGCGGTTTACATACTGGCTGCCCTGGTGCTCCAGTGCCAAGATAGGGATATGGGTTCCATCCATCGCCCCACCACAGTTAGGGAATCCCATTGCAGCAAAGCCATCTACTATGACCTGCACATTTCCCAGAGTCACTACCTTTGGTAGCAGCAGCTCAGTGATTGCTTTGGCTACTTGCATCACAACAGCCCCCACAGTAGATTTGCCCACTCCAAATTGATTCCCGACTGACCGGTAGCTGTCTGGCGTTGCAAGCTTCCACAGGGCTATCGCCACTCGCTTCTCAATTGAGAGGGCTGCTCT